CAGCATGTAAAGCCAGAAGGGCCTGGTTTCCAGGCCTGTCCTGTGGCTTGTATAGCAAGTTCCTAGGCAACTGGGTGGCGGGAGATTGTGTGACATACTGATTACAATCACAGATTGGTATCAGGAAGCCTGAGTTCAAAGTCCAACCACTACCAGAGCTAGCAAGTGGCTTGACTTTGAGCAAGCTATTGCCTCAGTTTCTATATCTGCAAAATGATGATAGAACAGGTACCTATCTTGTAGAGCACCACAAGTTCGAGTTTGTAAAGCACTAGGGTCCTGCTGGCCAGGTTTGGTGCTGCTATAGGTGTTGACTGTAATTGCTCCTTTGGCCCAAGTAGAATGTCAGGGTGGAGCACTTTGGTATCAGTGGAAGCCTAGAGCATAGTTTAGTGTGGGGTTCCCAGGGTCCCCCAGGGAAGCAGAAAAGTATGGCAGAAGTGAAGAGGGCAGGCTTTAAACTTCAAATCCGACCCTTGTGTCCTCACAGGGTGATCAGGCCAGTCTGTGCCTTACTTCTCTCAGCTATAAAATGAGGGTGATAATAGTAATGCTACTTACACACCCCACACCCCATCCATGAGTGAGGTCCCTGGCCTGGATGCTTCCAACACTCAGCCTCCAGATTCACTGTGGGAGGAAGCTTGAGGGCTGGTGTCTGAGCTGGTCATTTAGAGTCTGATGGGAGCCACTGCAGGTTTTAGGAAGGAATGAGCTGGATCATATTTATGTTTCAGAATGAGCTGTGTGGTGACTGAGGTACCGAGGGCAGGCAGATGAGCCAGGAGGCAGAGTCTGTGTGAGCCGTGAGGAGCCAGAGAGGGTCCCGAGCTGTGTAGCATGCACCTCTGCCATGACGTGCTCAGTGAAGGCGGGTGGAGGTAGCACGTGAGGGGTCTGTGGCTTGAGCACCTGGAGGAGGTGCTGGTCACAGGGCTGGCTCTATGCCCATCATCTCAGGGGTGGCCGCATCCTTGTCCCGGGCCTGTTAGCAGCAGGAGCTCAGGCCTGGACCTCAGAAGACAGATGCAGATTTGGGTTAGGAGGAGTTGGCATGAATTTTTCTCCCGGAAGCAGACCCAGAGTTGACCATTTGGGAAGCTGCCCGTCAGAGTGCAGATGTTGTGGGGGTGGATTGATGTTGGGGTGCTCAGGGGCAACATGGAAAATTGGTTGGGGAAATGAGACAGAGAAAGGAGGAAGGACAAAGGGTAGTTGGGGCCCACGCCCATCAGGGCTCTTAGAAACTGAGGGAGGAGGCCTGATTAGTTCCCCGGAGGGCGAGGAAGCCTATTCCTTGCTGGATAGCGTTATTTTGGGGCTCTAAGCACTCTGGCCCTTCTGGTCTCCTGTGTACAGGCTTAGCAGGTGCCTGTGGTCAGCAAAGGGACTTGGGCAGAGATTCAGGCCTCTGGAAGAGCTTCAGGAACGTGGCTGTTGGCAGGTGACCTTCAGGCATGGCCAGACCACAACCTGGCCACTGATGGCTTCTGTCCTTGTTGCTGCTAACAACTGTATCTGCCTTCCAGTGGGGAGCAAAGTGCCACCTTCTTCCTCATTACTCATAACAGATGGGACCTGCACAGGGGTTGGGTGAAGCAGGGGCCAAGTTAGGGAATCCGTGGGACCAGGAAGAGACTGGCAGTGCACGGGGTCTCCTGGGAAGGAGAGGCTAAAACCATTCTTTCCAAGATCGGGGAGGCAGAAGTGGAAAACAAAGTTGTTTAATGTGAAACACCATTAAGAAAAGTAAAGATTTCACTGCAGGATGTGAGAGAGCCCCTAAACCACTGTTAATTAGCTGGCTGCAGCAGGCAGCTGGGGCTGGGATGACGTGAGGCTCAACGTGGTGCAGACTTCCTCAGGTTCTTCCTTCCCTTACGTTCTGACCTCCTGCTTCTGCCCACACCCACCCGGCAACACAGCCTCTTACCTTTATATATGGGGGATATGGAGATCCTGGGCCAGCCACACACTTCCCATGCTCAGGTGATCAGGGTCCCTAAGGACCATCTCAGGGCCTCCAGTCCTTCGAGGGCCTCTGGGCTCAGGGAGAGGGGGAGTCGGTGTCTCAGGTGGGTGATACTCCCTTGCACTGTCTTAGCTGCCCCTGGGTTAGCTTACAGGGACAGGCACTTTTTGGGGGTTTGTTTGTAGATGCCATGAGGACTGGGTTGATGGGGTGTGTTTGATAGGAAGGCGAGGATGTGTGGAGTTTGTAAGGGCGTGGGTGCAGGCAGCAGTCTGTGAGAGCAGGTGCCTCCAGGCAGGTTGCACAGACGCGAGAGGGTGTTAGCACAGGTGGGTGGCATACAGATGTTGACAGACGTGACAAAGGGTGGGTGTGAATGGGTACAGAGGTGTGAGGATCGGTGAAAGCAACTCCGTGTCAGGATGTTAATGGATGAAGTAATAGTAGTGAAGGCTTTCTGGCACTTACTATGTCCCCTTTATGAGTCTATGTGTTTTATATAAATTTAAACATTTAATTTTCACCATCACCCCATAAAGGATATCCTAGAAGTATCCCTATTTTTTAAGGGGAGGGTGTAGATTCATAAATAGCTCAAGGAGCTGTCCAAGATCCTCCGGGGAATTAAGGCACAGGGTCAGGACTTGAACTCAGGTGTTCTGGCTGGAGCCCCTTCTTTGTCCTCCTCCTCTACACTGGAAACGTGTTTCAGGCAGTGAAGGTGTTAATGTAAGTGTGCACAGGGCGTAACACAAACAGCAGCTATGTGGTAGAGGCTGCTGTGAACAAGCAGAGCTGGGTGAATGGCTGCTCTGAAGACAGACAGCCCGGCTGGTGCTGGGCAGTGGGGTCCCACCATCACCTAGAGGATGGTTAAGGCTACAGACTGGCATTTCTCATTCTCAAAGTCTAGAGCTGGGCTCTAGAACTGCATTTCTGGAAAGTTTCTAGGTGATGCTAACACTGCACATTTGGAGACCAGACTTTGGGACATTGGTGCTGGGCATTACGCATGGGTAATTATGAAGACCAGATATTAACTGTTTAGAGACGGAGAGAAGAAGGATGTTGAGTCTAGAGCAGAGGGTGGCTTTGGAAGTTTAGAATAGGTTGCAGGTAGAAGATGCTGATGGAAGTGAGTGTGGGAAGCAGTATAGTTTAATAAAGCGGGGAAGCAAGTGTACAGAGAAGGACACTGCAACCTTTGATCCAAGAGCGCAGCAAAGCCCATGGCTGCAACCATATGGGAGATAATGTGCTCCTGAAGGCTCCCAGTCCTGCGCTGACTCCACTGGGTGTGACCAGCCTGGTAGATACCTTGCTATCCTCTTATTAATCTGCCAGAGAGCCCAAGGGGCTTTTTGTGAGTTAATTGTAAACTTGAAGGGGAGCCTAGGACAGTAGCCTGGGAGGCCCCAGAGGCATCCTCCAGGGGAATCCTGAGGTTTTTGAGATGTAAAGATGGCTCAGAAAACAGGCCTGGGGTCCCACAGGCGCAGGAGCTGTCTCTGTGCTTCTCAATTTTCAGCTATAAATTACTGATCCCGGACAGGTGACTGCCTGGGCTGCAGGTCCCTAGGAACAAGGGCCCAGGGGATGTGGGGAGGTGAGTGGAGCTGAGACTGCTCAGAGCAGGGCTACTGTCCTTTAGCCTTAGCGTTTGGTATTGTGATCACTCTGCCATGAGCTAGAGCACTGGAGGAGGTACTGGGGGAGGAGTGCTGAGCCTTTCAACTAAAAGCAGGAGTCCTCAACCAGAGGAAGGGCTCAGTGCACTGTGACCAAGCACACTCAGCTGGAGGCTATTGAAGGGAATGGGAGGGTGGGCAGGAGGCTCCAAGGAAGGGGGCTCCACTCAAGGCTAGATCAAAAATGTCTCATGCAAGGCTCAAGTGCTCAGAGGCGGGGCTTTTGAAGGTGATTGGATCACGGGGGCTTTTACTTCCTCAGTGGATTAAGTCAGTGATGAGGTCACACTTTGATAACATTGCGAGGTAATGGGAAGTTAGGAGGTGAGGCCTAGTTGGAGTAGGTCATGGGGGCATGAACTTGGGGACTGTATCTTATCTCTTGCTCTTTCCTCTCTCTCTCCCCGGTTCCAGGCTGCCATGTGCTGCTAACCTTTCCTCTGCCACATGCTTCCACCATACTTGTGACTCTGCACCGGCCTGGAAACAATGGAGCTGGTTGACCACGGAGTAAAACCTGAATCCAAGAGCTGAACTACTTCCTCCTTGAAGTTGTTTTTCTCAGGTATTTTTCACAGCAACTGAAGGCTGAGCAATACAGGGCTGGTGTTTCCCTTATAAGATGAGAAACTTTGACTTGAAAAACAGACATCTACAAAGGTAAAGCCACATGAAGGCATAGGGCGACATGGTCAGCTGGAAGCTGTCCGAGGCTACCAGGAGCTGGGAGAGGGGAATGGAAGTCTCCTACAGCCCCGAGAAAGAACTAACCCTGGTAACACCTTCATTTTGGACTCCTGGCCTTGAGAACAGTGAAATAATAATTTTCTGTTGTTTAAACCACCCTTTGTGACACTTTGTTATGGCAGCCACAGGAAACAAACATACCACGATTCATAGAAGGAGCCAAATTGATCTTTGCAACTGGACAGAGGCAAGTGTCACCGCTGAGGGGGCTGGGCAGTGGGCAGTTGGGAGAGGTGAGGGAGGTGACTTGGTGACTTCAGGAGCAGGCAGTGCCTGAGGTCCAGCAGGTGACACTCCAGCGACCGCATAGCACAGGAAGGGAGAACAGAGGCTGTCTCCCAGGGAGGAGCTCATGGTGTGTGGGAGACAGGGAGGACCATCCCTCTGGGTTGGGATCTGAGCCTGCTGACTGCCTTGGGCCTCACAAAGTAGGTTGCAAAGAAGCTCTTGCTATTTGCAAGGGTTTAAAGCCTCCTGTCATAGGGGTATGAAAAGAGAAGGGCAAACTGGGATATACCTTTGACTACTAGAACTCCAAGTTCAAAGGAGCCAGGCACGAGTCTCCACAGGGCACCAAATGACCACGAAAGCTCTTTTCTTAATCAATTGTATTTTATTGTCAGTTATAAATATTTTCCATTAGTTCCCAGTTGCAAAATAGTTTATGATATTATACCTTCACCCACCATTCAGCATCTTTCTATAAACTCCATGAAAATTGAATAGCAAATAAAAAGCTCTTTTGGGGGGCCCACTAATCTGGTTCCCCCAGACTCCAAACAACCCACGGAGGACAACAGGCCACGTTGTGGCAGGTGCTACACAGTAGCAAAGGGGTGGCGGGTGGTGGCTCCAAGTGGGTCAGGAGGCCAGACTCCTCAGGACGTTGGTGATGCTCCAGTGCTGGCCCGAGCACTTCTGCAGCACCAACTGGAAGCCGAACTCCATGTCACTGTTCTCCTGCAGCTCCAGACAGCGCTTGGACTTGCGGTTCTGGATGGGGCCTCCCTAGAGTCAAAGCAGACAGTGGGGTCAGAGGCATTGAGACATCTTAGTGGAATTCAGGGAGCCCAGTGGCTGGAGATATCTGTGTGGCTTGGGGACTAGCTTTCGTGCCTCAGTTTCCTCACAGTGCCCCTGGCTCTTTACGAGGACCAGGACTTCCTTGCTCCAGCTTGTCTACCTGGCTCATGCTGGTTTGCTCCTTTATCACCTGCCCTGGGCTCACCCTGCTCTGAAAATCCTGTGTCTGTGGGACTGCCCTGCAATCAGCTTGCCTTTGAGCATCCCCAGAGGCCCAGCACCTTTTGTTCCGGGGGTCTTTCCTAATGGACATCTTCGGGGAATCAAATTCAGGATTTTGATACTATTTGTTAGGCCACTGGGCTCCCCAAACCCTGGGAAATAGTTTTCCATACTACTGATCTAGAGCTATGAATATTCAGCCCATGTCCCAAACTCTTTCAAAGGCAGTGATGTTCTCTTCCTGAAAGTAGCCCTAGAGCAGTGAGGAGAAATCTCCAACCAAGATCGTTGCAGCACATAGGCATCAGCCTGGACCATCTGAGTATCTTCATCATCACTAATACAGTGCTCAATGGGCCTGGCCTCCCAAGTAGCTGGAATTGCTGGGGCAGCTGGTGGTCTTAACGAGTATATGGTCAAAGTCACCTTTCCCCCAGAACCTACTTCTCCTGTGTTTCTCATTTTGGCTGCAACCGAGGATTTGTGTGGGTAACCTGGACATTTTTTTTATTCATCCTTCTGCTCAGCATCCAATCAGGCACCAATTCCATCTCCCTCATCTTGTGATTGTTCCTAAGCCCTCTCCCATCACACTTGCCCTACTTTGGGCTACTTTCATCTCTCACCTGGACAACTGCATCAGCCTCCTGTATGAGCTCCCTTCCAGCCACCAGAGGCTGGGAGTGGTGCCCTTCTAAAATGCACGTTTGGCCTGCAGAACAAGGTCCAAGCTCTCAGCATAGCACTAGGCCTCCATGGGCCTCCATGGGCCTCCATGGCTCAGGGCAGTGTATCTTTCTAAGCCCATCTCTGACCCCTCCCAGCTCCATTCCTTCAGCTATACTGAACCCCTTCTGAACTTTATCTCAGGACTCCTGGGAGTTGCATACCCTCTGCTCCCAGCTTGGGGTCCTTTCCATGTCTCCACAGCAGGATAAGCCAGAGCTATGTCTCAAAGCCCAGCCCCTGCTCCATTTCTTCCAAGAAGCTTTCTCTACCTCCTACCTGATCCCCTCCAGCCCATCCACTTGGCTTGGTGCTTTTCATTATGTGCCTTCAGGTCACAGTGAGGACTGCACTGAGAGAAAAGGCTATACCAGCCCTCCTCTATAAAGAAATTATCCCAGTTGGCCTCAGCCATTCCCATGGCAACCACTGGCAGCACAAGTGAACACAAAGACGTGGTTTTCACAACTATCCAGGACACTGGCAATTACCTACTATAGTTGGATACGTGTCCACTGTGACCAACAGCTCCATGGCTAGCTTGGTATCTAACCGGAATGTGTGTACCAAAGACGTGTGTAAACTCTGCGGTGGAAACAACCCAAACATCTATTAAGAGTACAGTGGATAAAGGAATCCTGGCACGATTTTATAATGAGATACTATATAGCAATACATCAGGCTGGACCTACGCTCAATAACAACCAATCTCACAAGCATGACGTTGAGCAAAAGAAGCAGACAAAAGAATATACACATAATTCTGTTCATATACATTTCCTAAACAGGCAAACTAAAACCGTGCCATTGAAGTTAGGATGGTGATCCCTTCTGGGGAGATGGAGTCTGATGTTGGCAGGAGGCAACAGGGGTGCTTCTGCAGCGCTGGTAGTGGGCTGATTTCCTCACCCAGCCATTGGCTACCTAGGTATTTACTTTGTTTGATACTGTTGCATTGAATATGCATTTTGTATGTATGTGGTTAGACTTCAATTAAAAAACTAATGCAAAAAGTGCATCTCCCTCAGAAGAATGTTTGAGAGTGGGTGAAGGAGGAAGGGGTTGCAGGGCTGGAGGTGCAGGGGTGCAGGGTGTGGGTGGAGGTGTTGGGGAGGGGCTATGGGAGTCTCCATTTCTGGCGTAGGGGAGATGGCCAGCAGACCACACAAACCGCTCCAGAGGCAGCCCTGTGGATAGAGTAGGGTCCCTCCACCTGTAGCCCAAGTTCCAGGCCCTGCCAAGGCAAAACAGTGACCCACTGCAACAGCAGAGACACTGCAGAGTAAAGGGGAGACTGAGGCAGAGCACCTCTGGGACTACAGCTGTAGCTACCCATGCGGGCTTGGCTAGAGCAGGAGCACAGGGAGATCGGGCTCCGAATGGCCTGCAGCTCCCGTGTTGGAGAGAACTGGCAGGCCAGGTTTTTCTCTCATCTGCAGGCTGAATGGTCTCAGCCTTCCAACCTCAGGACCATCCAGCCCTGGCTGGTACTTGCAGGGAGGAGGCACTCAGCCACTCAGCCTTCCTCCCTGGATGCTTTGCCTTGGAACTCTCCCTCACTGAACTCAAACCCTGTTGTGCGATCGACCAAGGTGCTGCGGACCTTCCCTGAGGCTTCCACACATTTCTGCTTCTCTACTCCTTCCTCTCACGTCCATGCTTGCCCAGGTTCAACTCTGCCATAGGCTGCGTGATTTGTCCATGTTGGCTGTCTTCTCGTGGACAGACACTGGTATTTTGTGTGGCTTGGGACTGATCACAGACTTCCTCAACATGGTCAAGGAACTGGCACTTTTGGTGGCCAGACCTCACTCTTGGGCCATACTGGACAGCACAGAGGCACCTGGCTTTGACCTCCCAGGAGCTGTGATCCACCTTGGGTCGCTACTCTGTCCTTCAAAGGCTGGGCTTTTGAGCCCGGGGCACCCTTGTGATACCTGCTGCACACAGGGCCAGCCCATCACTCTGTCAGCTCAGATTCCTACAGCTGCTGTGTCAACTTTAGCCCTAGAGCCTGAGCACACCTTCTACCCACACCTAGACTGGGCCAGGCCTCTGCTGCTTCTTAAGCGGACCTGTGACCAACCTCTCTTGGCCCCTCCAACAGCGCTGCCAGCTCAGCCTCCCGTCCTACCAGAAGAGGCTTGGAGCAGAACTCAGGCAGGGGGACTGATGCCAGCCCAGCCCACTAGGTCACACTGTCTGCTGGGTTTCAGGGGTGAGGCAGAAAGGGCTGAGGGGTGAACAGGATGCCCAAGGGGTGGCTTCTCTTCAGGCTGTCAGCTGTGTGGTCTTGGGCCAGCCTCTCCCCCTTGTTCACTGTCTGTAGGGCCACAAGTTAATTTCTGTCCTGATTCCCTGATGATGGACAGAGGAAAGATGGAAAACCCCACTGTCAGCTCTAAATCTGCAACTGGATGTGGGGGTGTTCACAGCGTCAGCAGGGGGAAGTCAGGGGCTCCACTCTGCTGAAGATTCTGCCAGCTCAGCACATCCTCAGGGCCCAGGCCAAGCCTCGCTTCACAGCCCCTGGGTCCCTGGAGCTTGGAGAAATTTGTCCAAAACAGAGGAGGCCACAGCCCCTTAATTCCCCCAAGCCACTCAGGCATGTTCTTACTCAGGCAGCTGTGCCTGCCAAGGCGAGAGGGGGAGGAGGGAGCAGAGGTCTCTGAGAAGTACCCTGTCCTTCAGCGACTGTGTGTCCCAGGCCTTCCCCAGCCCCTGTGCCCTCAGCACCCTAGAGACAGGGAATACGTGATCCTGAGCACACACATCCAGCGTGGCCTCCTGGAAAGATGTGGAAGAGATGGACCAAGGCCAAGAACATGGGGGGGGGCGCTGAGGGAAGGGACCCAACTCAGTGAGAATGCCGGGGCCTGTCGGGGAGGCAGTGTGGGAGGTGAAGGAGAGCTCCCTCCCTGGAGCTGAGTGAGGATCAGCTTCCGGAATAGAGCCAGCGGCTCTGGAGTGCACCTGGGGACCACATCCAGGACACAGAGGAAAGAGCCAGGCCCCTTGGGTGCGACAGCAACATTGCCATCCTTCTTGGACCTCCACCCTCTATCTCTGGGGAAATTTTATTCATTATGACTGCAAAGAAGCCTTCTTTTCCTCCCCCCACTACCGCCTGGCAAGTTGAGCACCCTCAGGAGCAGCCTGGCGTTGTTGCTGATTGTACCTCTACCAGTGGACGGCTGTGCGCTGGAGATGAACACAATAATGGGTGGCACTTCCTTTTTTTTATTCTGGGCCAAGGCCTTTCCCCACCTACCCCTGGGTGCCTCACAGTGCACCCAGAGGCGGAGGTGATCAGAACTCTTATTTTACAGATCTGGAGGCTGAGGTCTAGAAAGGTTGGGAGGCTAGCTCAAGGGTCCGATGGCCAGTAAGTGGTAGAGACAGGCTGGAGCCCAGGGCGTCTTCACCTCCCAGTGTGTCCCTCAGTAGGACAAATGGCCAGCCCCATCCCATTTATCCCCCCATGCCTGGCTCAGGGGACTGGGCTAGGCTAAGGGGGCTGTTGGTACTCTCTCAGCTTGCTTCTGGGGCTGTCGGGGGCCCACTTGGTCTGTTCCTTTGAGGGCTTTCAACAGAGACACAGCTCATTCATCCTTCCACCCATGTGACAAATATTTAATGAGTGCCCACCCTGTGCCCGGCACAGTCTTTGCTGCTGTGGAACACAAGTGACCAAACAGGAAAAGTTCTGCCTTTGTGGGGTGTGTACTCCTGAAGAGAGAACAGGCAATACATTCTATAGCGTGGGAGGGGGTAATAAGGTTGCACACAAAACTGTGGAGCTGGGTCAGAGTCTACAGCGCTAGGGAGCAGGGGGCAGGAGGCGACTGTAAGAGGGGCAGGGAGATTCTCAAAGGTGAGAGCTGAGCAGAGACATGGGGGAGGAGAGGAGGGGCCCAGAGGCTGGCTGGGGAGCCCCATGTGATGGCACAAAGCTGTAGTCCCAGTGGCAAGCCCGGGGAGCTCAGAGAACTGTGGGAGGCGAGTGGGGAAGGTGGGAGGGAGGGGATAAGGCCTGA